GGCTACGACACCTATATTTTCTGCATGGTCTAGAAAAGGGATTTCCAACAAAGCTTTGGAAATTCAGCTTCCTGCAGAGACTACGAGGCCAAGGAGCGTGCCGCTTTGCAGCGAGCAGAGCAGCGCTGTGGTTCTGCCCGCCCCTCGTGCCCTGGGGAAGCTCCGACCCACAGCTCCCATCCCTCCGATGGCCCTCGCCTCCTCCAGACCGCAGCTTCCCTGCGCTCCTCCCCGTGAGAGCACAACTTCTGCTGGCACCAACCATTGTTTCATTGTTCTCTCGCTGCAGGGACTGATAGTTGTTAATGACTTGAGGTGCGATTAATTTTTAACGGCATCATCTTAATTGCCAGGCTATAAATAGACCTTCCCGCCCCTTCTCCGGCTCAGCTGCTTTCTCACATATGTTTTGCTCCACGTCGGGAGGATCGCAGCCCTGAAAGCCCTCCCCGGGCTGCGGAGGGTGCTCGGGGGGTGTTGGGCCATCGGCAAGTTTGGAGTTTGGCCCGGGGAAGGTCCTCCAGACCGGCTGCGATGGAGCCCATCGCCGCGAGGGGAGCAGGGGATCCAGTCCCACAGACTTCCCAGCAGCCAGGCAGGCGAGAAGCGCCATGCTAAGGCCTGTCACCGCTCTGTGCCCCGCCGTCCCTCTACAAAGGGTCTGCACAGGAGCCGAGGAGCCCCAAAGCTCACCGGTATCTTCCAGGAGGTGCATGGGTCCAAGAGCCACCAGCAGCACTCCTGGGCATGGCCTCCTCGTCTGAGGACACCCCTGTCCCCCAAAGCTCCTGCCTTTGGGGGGGACGAGCTACCTCTCGGTAGAGGGACGAGGCTCGGAGCTGCGTGGAGAACATCAGATACAACCAGCCCTGTCCTGACCTCCCGGGTGCCCGGCCCTCAAAGGGGACCCTCGTTCGATGGGAGCATCACTTCTCCGTCCTCGCTCTAAGGAGAGCGGGAAGAGCTGGGCAAATACCCCAGGTCACCTGAACCTGCTCCTGGCATTGAACTCCTGACCCAGAAAGCAAAGCCTCCTGGCCCAGGCAAATCCCCTCCGCCAGCCCATCCCGCCTCTCCTCCTGCCGGGGGATTTGTGGGAATTATCCTCCCTCCGCCATCCCCCTGTGGTCCTTCTGCCTCGCAGCCTCCCCTCTGCCTCGCTTTTTCTATCCCTTAATGGCACTAAGAAGGGGCACTTTTCCCCTGATGCCTTGGGATGCGCTGCCTGGAGAAAGCCCGGCGGACGGATACGGGCTGCTCTCCGCCGGATTCGGGATGGGCCGTGCCGGAGCGGGCACAGGCAGCCCCTCCGCAGCGCCGGGGCCGTGGGAGCTCACCGGGGACACAGCAGCCGGCACAGTCGCGTCTCCAGGCTGCGGCTCGACAAGTTAATGAAAATATTCTACAGGCTAATTAAACTCATTTAACATTAACCATGGCCATGGATTCATTAGAAAAAAGCACAAACGGCCTTGGGCTGGAGCCCGGGCAGCTCCCGGCGAGGCAGAACAGGTACACGGCTCCCCGGAGGGAGGAGGTGAATTCCCTGGGCTGAAGAGAGCTGGGGTAGATGGAAGCACCCTCCTCATCCTCCCCTGAGCGCGGGTGGCTCCAAACCCCCCGCCCCGTGTCCCATCGGTGCGGCAGGCCTGGCTGAGCCCCGCAGAGGGGCACGGGGACAAGGTGCGGGGCTGGCTCCCGAGGGACGGCAAGGTGGCCGGGAGCACGGCGGGACGCTGGCCGGCGGCTGGTGGGCACCGGCTTCTGCAGCTGCTGCTGCTCCGGGCCGGGCAGCGCCAGCGGCACACACGGCTCTGAGCATCACCCTGGCATGGAGGGGCTGTGCTGCTGCTCCCTGCCTCAGCCTGGGTGACCCCGCTCTGTGCTGGGTGACCCCCCCTTCCCTGGGTGACCCCGCTCTGTGCTGGGTGACCCCCCCTCCCCTGGAGCAGGGGCCAGAGACAAGAAAGCAAGATGCCGACTCCCCACCAGGGAGGTGAGCCGTTCTGGCTTCCCTGCAAGGAGCAGCGCCAGCCTCCTGCTTCGAAGTCTGCCAAAAAGCAGGATCAGATGCCAGGAAAGTAAAATAAGAGCCTAGCAGGATTTCTCAGGGGCGCAGCCGGATCGGCGGACCCACTTACGGGGACGCTTGGCTGCAGCTCTCCAGCTGTGATGACATCGTGTCTCTTCCTATCTCATCACGCTGTTTGCACCACTCTCTCTTCGCAGGGGAGCGGAGGAGATGAATCATTCTTCCCCCTCCGAACACTCACAGGCACAAAACCCCCTCCTCGGCGGCCCCGTCCTCCGTGCCCCCCGCTTCGCTCCTCCGTCCTGCGGCGGGACGCGGGGGCTCCCATTGCGCCCGGGGGTCCCGGCAAAGGTGGGAGCAGCTGGCGGGGGGAGGTTTCCTAATCCTGAAAGCAGGATCATTCAGCGAGGGGACAGAAAGGATCCGTCCCACTGTCCCAACCACCAGCACGACGCAAATGTCAGCCAAGAAAGAGCCACAAGATGCTGCTGGTTGGGAATCCACCAACAAAACATTAGATGGAGCAACCAGACCATCCGCTGCCCTAAGTCCTGGGAGCTGCTCCTGGATGATGCCGGGAGGAAAATCACCAAAAGCACCCAAAATACTCGTATTGTTGCAAATGTTGGATTTGTCCCTGTCTGAGCTGATGGCCACAGAGGGGGACAGGAGTGGCTGGGGGTGACAATCCCGTCTCCAGGCCACATCCAGAGCGGCCCAGCATGCCGCATGGAGCCGGGCAACACCCTCCAGATCTAAGGGGTCTTGGAAAAACCCTGCAGTCACCCAGCTCTTGCAACGAGCGAGGAACCCTCCCAGCCGTGAACGGCGAGGGACCGGGGCGAGGGGCGATGCCTGAGTGTGCAGAGAGCCTGAAGCCGTGAGCCAAGGGGACCTGCGCCACGCTAAGGAGAGGAGCAAGCCGGGCACCGATGGCACTGCCGGCCCCGGGCACGGCGGTGGCTGGGGAGGGACGGGCGGCGGGGGGAGCTGGGAAGGTACAACTGGGAGTCTGCTGCAGGGAAGGCAATGCTGTGAAAAGCACAGAAAGGGATTAAAAAAGACAGAGATGAAGGAGAGAGATGGGAAAAGGAGGATGCGGGAAGGAGAAGAAAAGAGAAGAGACAGCCGTGGCCTACAGGGTGTGAATTTTCTCACTGAGTGATGAAGGCAGCAATGAGGCACCAAGCAAGCAGTAAATATGTGGGCATTCGGTCCTCAGCGAGGCTGCGCCCTCCCGGCCCCGGGCTGCGGCAGCCAGC